TGCAGGGAGGCTCACCCCGCCTGTGTGAGGTTCACACCCTCCTGGGGCCGTGCAGGGAGGCTCACCCACGTGTGCGACCCTCACACCCTCCTGGGGCCGTGCAGGGAGGCTCACCCCGCCCGCGTGAGGTTCACACCCTCCTGGGGCCATGCAGGGAGGCTCACCCACCTGTGCGACCCTCACACCCTCCTGGGGCCGTGCAGGGAGGCTCACCCCGCCAGTGTGAGGTTCACACCCTCCTGGGGCGGTGCAGGGAGGCTCACCCCGCCTGTGTGAGGTTCACACCCCCTGGGGCCGTGCAGGGAGGCTCACCCCGCCTGTGCGACCCTCACACCCTCCTGGGGCCGTGCAGGGAGGCTCACCCACGTGTGCGACCCTCACACCCTCCTGGGGCCGTGCAAGCACTCACACTCGTGCAGGGGACCCTCATCGATTCTCTCACGGTCCCGGCGGTCAGAAACCCGACGTGGGGGCCTCACTGGACTAACATGAAGGTGTGCGCAGGGCTGGTCCCTCCTGTTTCTCCAGGGGAGAATCCACTTCCTGCCTTTCCCACGTTTAGAGGCACCCACGTCCTTCAGCTCCGGCCCCTTCCTTCCCACTCACAGACAAGCGCAGCCTCTTCCAGTCTCCCTCTGACCCTCACCTTGCTGCCTCCCCTCAGGAGGACCCTGTGAGGACACTGGACACCCCGATCATCCAGGATGATCTCCAGTCTCAAAATCCTAACTCAGCCCCACCTACAGAGTCCCTTTCGCCTTGGAAGTTCCCCTGGCCATGCCTTTCCCAGGATCTGTGACCTGAAAGATTATTCCAACCCACCCAAAAAAAAACCCTAAGGCTGGGCCGGGGGTGGTGGCTCACACCTGTAATCCCAGCACTTTGGGAGGCTGAGGCGGACAGATCACGAGGTCAGGAGTTCAAGACCAGCCTGACCAACATGGTGAAAACCTGTCTTTACTAAGAATACAAAAAAATTAGCCCAACGTGGTGGTGCACATCTGAAATCCCAGCTCCTAAAGAGGCTGAGGCAGAAGAATCGCTTGAACCCGGGAGGCGGAAGCTGCAGTGAGCTGAGATTGCATCACTGCACTCCAGCCTGGGTGACAGAGTGAGTCTGTCTCAAAAACAAACAGCAACAACAAACCTAAGGCCTTGTGGCCAGGCCCGGGGGTTCACGCCTGTAATCCAAGCACTTTGGGAGGCTGAGGTAGGCAGATCACCTGAGGTCGGGAGTTCAAGACCAGCCTGGCCAACATGGCGAAATCCCATCTCTACTAAAAAAAAAATGAACCCCGCATGGTGATGCGCAACTGTAATCCCAACTACTTGGGAGGCTGAGGCGGGAAAACTGTTTGAACCTAGGACCGGGGAGGTTGCAGTGAGCCGAGATTGTGCCATTGCACTCCAGCCTGGGCGACAGAGTGAGACTCCATCTAAAAGGAAAAAAAAGAGTAAGGCCTTTTTGGGAAACAGATGAGTTGGTTCCAGGGCACCAGGCTCCGCGTGTACCTCTGAGAGCCAGCTGGGTGTCTTCTGAGCTCCACCCCCTCGTAATAGGAGGAGGAGGAGGAGAGGAAGCCAGCTGACCAGCTGAGTGCTTTGTCCACGGTCACTGGGGCAGGGCAGTGGCCTTCAGCCATCTCCTGGGGCAGCCCTGCCCCCACACCTCCCTGGGGACTGTGCAGGGGCCAAACCTCACGGAGGCCAGGCATGCCTGCTGCTCCCCGTACCGCCCCGTCAGAGCAGGGTGGGCAGCCCCGGGCTCCTGGCCACACCTGCTGAGCCCGCTCCCTGCCCCAACTGGAGGACCGTGGGCCCTGGCTCTGTCCCCAGGCGGGCCTGTGGAGCCACCGGAGTAGCGTGTGAGTCAGCCAGCAGGAAGGGACGCTTGCAGCCACTTGCATCAGATGTTCCTACCTCGTGGCCCCGCGGCCAGAGGTCTCAGCCCAGCAGGGGTCCCCAGATGACCCTGCCCATGGCCCTCCATAGCAAGGGACACCCCTGGGGCTGTGGTTTTGGTCCCTGGAGGGCCAGGCAGGTGGGAACGGTGACATGGGCTCCGGGGCACCCCCTGCACTGGCAGGTGTGCAAACCCATCCCACATCTTCACTCCTATATGGGATGATGGCTGACCTGCAAGGACCCAGGCGTGGGTCCCCTCCCGGGGACGCCGGCCTCCACAGGCACACAGACACACGCCCGATCTGCTCACACTCAGACGCACGCCAAGTTTATTTAATTTTGTTTTATGTTGTAGGGCAAAGCTCTGTATTGTTACCCTCCGGTACGGCTGTCTGATATAATACAGACACCAGGCTAACTTTGAATTGCAGATAAACGGCGAATAACCGGGCCAGGCGTGGTGATCACAGCACTTTGGGAGGCTGAGGCAGGAGAATCTCTGAGACCAGGAGTTCCAGGCCAGCCTAGGCAACATGGTGAAACCCCCATCTCTGCCAAAACTAAAATAGTTGTGCATTGCCAGGCGTGGCGACTCACGCCTGTAATGCCGGCACTTTGGGAAGTGGAGGCAGGTGGATCGTCTGAGCTCAGGAGTTCGAGACCAGCCTGGCCTACGTGGCAAAACCCAGTCTCTACTTAAAAATACAAAACTTAGCTGGACGTGGCAGCAGGTGCCTATAATCCCAGCTACTCAGGAGGCTGAGGCACAGGATTGCCTGAACCTGGGAGACGGAGGTTGCTGTCAGCTGAGATTTCACCACTGTACTCCAGCCTGAGCCACAGAGGGAGACTCCATAAAAAAAAAAAAAAAGAAAAGAAAAAAAAAAAAAGGCCGGGCATGATGGTGGGCACCTGTAATCCCAGCTACTCAGGAAGCTGAGGCAGGAGAATCACTTGAACCTGGGAGGCAGAGGTTGCAGTGAGCCAAGATCACGCCACTGCACTCCAGCCTGGGTGGCAGAGCGAGAGTCTGTCTCAAACAAACAAATGCTTCACTTCGAGACAATGGAGCTCCCCCCCACCACCACCCCCACCTCACCTCCCTTGCTGCAGACACCCAGCTGGGCCCTGAGAAGGGTGGTCAGGGTGGGGGGTGTGCCCAGCCGGTGTCCCTGGCTCAAGGGACATGGGTCGAGGAAGAAGCCCAGAGCTGGCGAGGCAGGACCTGCCTGGGCACCTTCTCTGGGGTTTTGGAGACACCCTACCTACAACACAGGCTGAAAATCGCCCTGAATTCTGCAGAACTAAAGAACAAAAAAGAAAAAGCATCACTCCGGAGACATGAGGAATGGTTCAAAGGTTGGCTGGAGGCAAACAGGTCGCCCCCAAGGAAGCCAGCGCTCTGCACCCTCAGGCTGAGGGTGGCCACACCTGCTGTATGATCAGGGCAGGACAGGGCGTCTCCAGGGAGCTGCAGGGCCCGGGGTAGGCTGAGCCTTTGGGCCTCCATCCCTCCGGAGTCCCTCGGGGTGGGGTGGGTGGTGCAGCCTCCGCTGTAACGAGGCGTCTGTTGTCCCGGGAAGCAGCAGGAGTCTGTCCCTGTCCCAGAGGGAAGGCCAAGCCACCCGGTGGTCTGGTCACCCTGGGGCCGGCCTGCAGGGACGTGAGCTCATACCTGGGCCTCCTATGTGCCCCAGGCCACTCTGCCAGGGCCCCGGGAGCCCGAGGGAGGTGGGACCAACCAGAGTAGAAGCTGGGTTTGCTAAGGGTCCCCTATAGCGAGGGCCACGGGGCGAGCACGGCCCAGGCAGTTGTGCTCTCCATCACGGGTTGCCGGGTGCACACTGGGGGTCCGTCAGTTGCGGTCCAAGACAGAAATTGGGCAGAGACAGCTCAGCCACAGGTGAGTCCTGGAGCTGTGAGGACCTCGGAGCCCGTCCCCCCTCCCACCACGCCCGCAGGTCACCCTCCTGTGTGGCCAGTTCTGGCTCCCCCATCAGCACCTTCGGGGCCTGAGCTACCAGTGGACCCAAAACAGGTTCCGGGGGCGCAAGGCCCTGCTGGGTTGACTCTCACCTGCCCCAGGCAATGAGGCCAGCTGGTGACCAGGTGAGAAGGGGCAGGGGTGCCTGGGAGAAGCCACCAGGCCTAGCCTGGGTTCGGGGAGCCCACAGGGTTCAGGGCAGGTCTGGACCCCTCCTTAAAGGAGCCCCAGCCCCTCCCGGCCCAGGTCAGGTGCACCGTAGCCCTGGGGCTTCCCAGAAGAGGAAGCCATGGCCCAGCCCCGAGCTAGGTCTGGTGAGAGCTCCCGGGTGGGAACCCAGGGGGTGGAGAAAGAAGCCACCTGCTGGAGACACGGCCCCCCACCCCAGCCAGGTCCCCGGTGACCTGGAAGCCACTCCAAGCCACTCCAGGGCCAGGCATGACAGTGCGGTACAGGGTACATGGTGGCCATGCCAGGATCACAGCACGGGGAGCCCACTGGGGCATGGGAGGGATGCCAGTGTGTGGGGGGCAGGGGGCTCTGTCCTTGTGTCTGC